ATAACTTATGGAGCCATTTAAACTGGTCCGGGTTCAAGTTCTGCTGTTCCAGTAGATGTTTGAGGGGCAAATGGTCAGTTTTAATGATAAATTTACGACCACAGAGGTAAGAACGCCACTGCTTAACAGCAAAAATGATGGCAAGTAATTCCCTTTCATATGCTGATAAGGGCTTCTTGTTAGGGGCCAATGCTTTGCTAGCAAAAGCTACAGGATGCCCATTCTGAGATAGTACAGCTCCCAATCCACGGCCAGAAGCATCAGTCTCTACCACAAAGGTGGCATCAAAATTAGGAAGGATTAAGACCGGTGGTGATGTCATAATCTGCTTCAGCTTACTAAAGGCATCCTGAGCAGCAGATGACCAACGAAAGGGTGTATTCTTCTTAAGCAGCTCTGTCAAAGGCTGACTGATAAGGCCATAATGCCTTATAAACCTTCTATAATAGCTCGTAAGGCCTAGGAATCCTCTCAACTCCTTCAAGGTAGTTGGTATGGGCCATGAATTAATAGCATCTAGTTTTTTAGGATTTGCTTGGACCCCATTTACAGAGATAATATGTCCCAAATAATCGATTTGGGTGGCAGCAAAAAGACATTTGGAGGATTTGGCATATAGTTGATGCTGTCGCAAGGTTGATAAAATAATCTCTAGGTGTTTAAGATGAGAGCTCCAATCTCTATTGTAGACCAGTATGTCATCAAAGAAAACTAAGATGAATTTCCTCAAAAATGCTTTGAAAACTGAATTCATAAGACCTTGAAAGGTGGCTGGGGCATTTGTAAGCCCAAAAGGCATAACCAGGAACTCATAAAGCCCCTCATGTGTCTTGAAAGCTGTTTTATGAATGTCATCTGCCCTCATTCTAATTTGATGGTAACCTGCCCTCAAATCCAGCTTCGAAAAATAAGTAGCTCCAGTTAATTCTTCCAGCAATTCTTTAATTACAGGAATAGGGAATTTGTTCTTGATGGTGGCCTCGTTCAACCTTCGGTAATCAACACAAAAGCGCCACGTTCCCTCCTTCTTTTGAACCAAGACAACCGGTGCAGCAAAAGAACTAGAACTTTCCCTTATAATCCCAGACGACAGCATTTCCTGGACTTGTCTTTCAATTTCAGACTTCTGAGTAGGGCCGTATCTGTAGGGTTTACAACTTATAGGTTTGTCATGATGAAGGTGAATAGAGTGATCAAACTGGCGGGAAGGAGGCAGGCCTTTGGGTTCATCAAACACATCCGTAAAAGTCTCTAAGAGATGCCTCAACTCACGTTGCTGGCATTCAGACAGAGGGGAAGGAATCTTGAGACCCAAGTGTAGGTGAGTTGAATCCTGGATTAAGAAAACATGTGCTGCAACTACCAGATCACGTGCAGAATTAATCTCTTCAGTTTTCGAAAGTTCTCTATACCCAATCCCATGCAACTCAAGTAATGCCCCATCAACCTTGAATTCAAAAAGCTTGGCTTCCATATCCATAGAAAATTTCCCAATGGTACGCAGCCACTGAGTGCCCAAAATCATGTCATAGCTTCCTATTTTCATAACTAGGAAATCAGTCGAGAATGTATGATTACCCATTTCCCATTCCAGGTTCGAACAACACTTATTAACTGTTACCTGGCGATTATCGGCTACTGTGAGGATGACATCGCTTCGTTCTTGAGGTTTCAGCTGGAGACGCTTAGCAATGGATGTGTTTAGCACGTTATGTGTGCTGCCGGTATCCACCAGTATAACAACCTGTTGGTTCTTAATTCGGCCCAAGAGCTTCAAGGTGGATGCTCCTTCTTTCCCTTCAATGGCGTTAATAGTCCCTACAGAATCTGAAGGAGGTTCCTCCAAAGCATCTTCAAAATGTTCTTCATCGTCATCTACCACCAGCATAAAAAGGTGCGACTCTTTGCATCTATGGCTGCTAGAGTACTTCTCCGGGCACCAATAGCACAATCCCTTGCGCCTCCTCTCATCCATCTCCTTTTTTGATAATTGCCGAGAAGGTTTGGAAGACCCAGGGGTCGACGGTGATGATGCTGCAAATGAGGGAGCTGAGTTCTTGGGCACGGACAGCGACTCGGGCGATTTGGGCTTTGAGAAGGGGGACGAATTTGACATTAGGCTCATGTTAAAACCCAAAGGAGCAGTTGCTCGAGGCCCAACGAAATCCCCTGGCCCCCTGGATGATGACGGCCCCCTGGATGATGACGGAGCTGTCCTTCGACCCAACAGAGCTGCTGACGGAGCGTTCTCATGTAAAGCTCGGATCGTCCCTTCTTGTCGCCGGGCACAGCTCATCGTGCTCGAAAGAGATGTAGGTTGGAAATTAAGAACACATTTCTGGATATCTGGACGCAGGCCACCAACAAATAAACTTATCGCAACCTCCTCTGAAATGTCGATCTCAGAGAGCAGTTCATCAAACTTCTGCTCGTATTCAAGAACGGTACCGTCGAGTTGCTGTAGTTTCTTAAGGCCAATTGTGGGACTCTCCTCCCTGACATCAGCAAACTTCAGCTCCATTTGATGGAAGTATTCGGACCAGCTAACCTCAGAGAATGCTCGGTGACGCATAAAAGTCTGATGCCAGCGAAGTGCATGACCCTCCAGGTGGATACTCAGTATACGGATGCGTTGATCCGGTGGAGTGCCGTCTACTTCAAAAAATTATCGAACACGATAGGCCCAACCACGGAAATCTGAGCCGTCGAACCTGGGAAATTCCACACGACTCTGTTTCGTCGAGACAGAATAAGTAGGAGAGGAATGGGAAGCTTCTGCAAAAGAACCGAAGGCGGGGAAGCGAGGAGGAGTTAAAGAAGAGGAACCATCTTCTGCGTGCTTCCCATGCTCAGTTGACAGAGCCGAGACCTTCGCAACCAGGTCCTTGAAGTAGTCTTCAAATCTCGCAGCAGACGTTTTCAGGGAAGCAATATCCTGGCCTTGCTGATCCAAACGGCCATTTACCGATGCCATCGCGGCTTGCTGAAGCTCCAGCTGATGCTCCAGTTCACCTAAGCGCCCATTAGATCGCGTCTCCGGAGCCATTACCGGAGAGGTGGCTCTGATACCTTTGATATGTGTAGAAGAGAGAAAAACCAGAATTCATTCAACAACCGTTAGAGTGACGATCATACAATCCATATACCTCCTACCAGGCACGTAGCGCCTACTCACTCTCTCTCTCTTCGTGACTAACTCTATAACCATTTTACGGATATACCCTTTACTAGAGATTCTGTCATAGTAATAATCAGCAGAATATGAAATACTGTAAAATAACATGTATCACTGCGTGTAACCCAAAATCCAGGGAGTTGTGAATAATTTAGCCTGTATTTTATCTGGCATATTTCCAAGGTGTGACAAAACACTAATTTTTATGCAGGAGGCAACCATTCAAGAATACTTCAAACCAATCGACAAGGAAGCTGAGATGATAATGAAGATGCAGCTAGAAGAGGAAGAGAAAACCATGACGGATATGATGAAGACAATGCATCAACAAGTTTTGCTTGAGGAGGCTGAAGCAGGAAAGATCTCAAGTATGCAACAAGCAGAGGAGTCCCAGACCAAACAGAAGAACCCAACAGCATCCACAACCACTTCCACCACAAAGGAAGCTGAGATGAGATGACTTTGAGACCAGTGATGGTGCCTCAAACTGGATAACGCATTTCTTGGTGAAATTTTGTTTAGTTTGACTTGGTGAAATTTTGTTTAGTTTGAATAACCGAGACAACTTTAGGGCATTGTTCATACTTCATAGTTGTTGTGTTTTGCACTGTTAGTTATTCGATGTAATAATAATCGTACAAATCTGCTAGTGATATTGTGGTGGGGTTCAAAATGCTGTCTTGTATGAATGGTTCAGATTATTATATTATGATATCTGAAAAACAAAGGATGGAAGGCCATGACTCCCACCCCCGCCTTGCCCCCTCGGCCCGGGGGGTTGGTGGGGAAGGGTCACGGTTTTAAAAGAATAATGAATAAATTTTGTTCAAAAGTACTACCTCCGATCCTAATTATAAGACCCAGTTGACTTATTTGAGGAGATTAAGGAAGTAAGTTAAGGTAGTTATTTGTAATAAATAAGTGTTGTCATTCTTAAAATATCCTTGCTAATTAAGTGTATTGGCTAGAATTATCATTATTAGAAGGATTATCTTGGAAAAAAAATACATAAATATGAGAGAAAAAATGGATTGGGGTCTTATAATTAGAACCAAACAAAAAGTCAAATGGGGTCTTATATTAAGGACCGAAGGGTAGTATTTAAAAAACAGTCAAAAGATTACACACATACGTGTTTGTGTGTGGGTTTGTCACACTGTTGGGTAATTTATTATTACTAAGGAGGTGTTTGGATAGAATCCGAACCATGATTTTAGAAGTATTTTTACGGATTACGAAGTAAATATATGGAGGAGATTATCTCGTTTTACGGAAAAGTGCTTCTGAAACCATGGTTTTGGGTTTCCCAAACACCCCCTAAATAATTGGGCGTTTCTCAAGTCAACAATTTTCGGAGTATTTGAATGTCTCTAAGTACACAAATTGAAATAAAATTTTTCTTATATATTATATTATAAAATTATTTTTAAAACTATAATTTAGTTTCTATATAAACATTCCTGTTTATAATTATGATATTTATTCTAATTATATTTTGCTTATTGAAATTATATAAAGATTAATCAGTGTAATATAGTTTTTGTTTGTATCTGTTATTATAAAAAAGTTAGTTTGATAGAAATTATTGAGATTACATGTTCTCAGGTCATGTTTAGAATTTTCAAATTTAAAAACTAGTCAAAAACTAAAAATCAGAACATCCAAAAATAAATTTTTACTTTTCTTTTTAAACCTAAAAAGCATAATAATAAAAGAAAAAACTGTTATTTTTATGTAAATACCAAACATAACGAAGCACATTAGCTTTCTTGACACCCATTTCATTGGCACGAGCCTTTTAATCACTAACTAGGGTTCGCAGACAATGATCATAGTAACTTGTTCTTTTCATTCTTACACAAAATCCAATTTTGTTCCTGGTAAATTCTAATCACAAACAAACAAGACAATTCCCAGAGACTCCCTATCGAGAATATCCCTGTTATCTTTTGATTCGCAGTCCACGTACCTCCACATGGACCAGAAACTTCCGCTCGTCTCTGTGCCAAATGGGCACATTCCAACCCATCAACACCAGACTTGTTGCTGGTGGTGACTGGAGTTGCTCCAGCTCCAAGAACATCTCCAATGGCGGTTTTGGCACAGGGCTTAACGTTCAATCTGTGCATAACACATCCTAAAATATGTTATATGAAGCAATTGAGCTGTTTCCCCGTATGCCGCAGACTGTTTGCCAACAAGAATGGACCTGTGCTTGTCTCGCGCCTTGCCAGGTTCTTGCTTATTCTTTTGATGTGCATCGTCCATTATGTTGCTTTTCCTCTATTTGAAAACTTTCTTGACCTATTCAGAACTTATTCCAGTGGCACTTAAAATGGTTATTGCCAAAATTGAATTTGTTTGTTGATTTTGAATGGATTGAGTGTTTTACGTATTCTTTGTACAGAAGTTTACACCTTTACCTTTCTTGTTCTATTTCCATCCCTTTTAAGGGAATGTGAGGCACATGATATCTGAGATTAACTTATCAAAAACAAATGAATTCATAATTGCCAAGACTTGCTTCCAGAAAAGTTGTTCTCTTCTTCTGTCTTCTGTGGGCTATTTATCAATAAGGTTGATTAAACGGCATGCTTGTTTTCTTCTGTATTTAATTTATTATTATTTTTCTAAAAATTTTCTTTTACTCTTATCAGGGAAAGTTGTAAAGTAGCCATATTGCGTGATTGATTTGAGTCTCAAAGTTTCAGTTGTGCTATTGAGCCAATCACTGAACATATAGGTTATTATGAATATGTCTTAAATTTCTATTATTTATGGAAATTTGGGAATATAGGTGTTGTGGGAACAAGATTATTACATTCACAGAGAATCAGCTTAAGATTGCTTCTCAAGAATTTTATCCAAATGTACTGTGGTTGAAATAGGCTGAAAGTAATTATTATCATTATAATTATATGAAGTTAATGGAACAATTCTGTATGTCTCTTATTATTCAATGAGAAGGAATACATCATATGTATATATAACCGAACAAGGAAGACTAAAGATAAGATACTGTTATCTATCTCTATCTAATCTAAGACGGAAAGATAAATGAGTAACTGAAAAAAAAACTACTTAATAAATAAAACTAAGTTTATTTGGCTTGGGCCTTGGGCTTTGTCTTTCAACACTCCCCCTCAAGCTGGAGAATAAATGTTGACCATTCCCAGCTTGCTCTTTAGTCCTTCAAATGAATCTCTTGGTAATGGCTTAGTAAGTAAATCTGCTACTTGACTTTTGGTTCTGATGTAGGACAATTTGATAGTGCCTTCTTCAATTTTCTCCCTGATGAAGTGTCTATCAATTTCGACATGTTTTGTCCTGTCATGATGAACAGGGTTTCTAGCCATTTCTATAGCTGACTTATTATCACACCATAGTTTCATTGGTGCATTGTGCATAAGTCTCAGTTCTTTTAGAACTCTGATTATCCAGATCCCTTCACAGACTCCGAGAGCCAATGCTCTTAGTTCTGCTTCAGCACTGCTCCTAGAGACCACAGGTTGTTTCTTACTTCGCCAAGTCACTAGGTTGCCCCACAAGAAAGTAGTATACCCTGTGGTAGATCTTCGATCCAACCACGATCTTCCATGGTCTGCATCAGTATAAATTTCTATACTTCTAGACCCATCCTTTCCAAAAAACAATCCCTTTCCTGGATTCATTTTTAAGTAGTGCAGAATTCTCTGGACTGCTCCCATATGATGCTCTTGGGGTTTATTCATGAATTGACTTACTACCCCTACAGCATAACTTATATCTGGACGAGTATGAGCTAAGTAGATAAGTTTTCCTACTAGCCTTTGATACCTTCCTGTGTCGACAGGTATACCATCTGCTTTGTATTCTAAGTTACAGTCAGCCTCCATGGGAGTTTCTGCAGGTTTGGCTCCAAGCATCCCAGTCTCTTGCAGTAAATCAAGAGTATACTTCCTTTGGGAGACACTAATTCCCCTTTTAGATCTAGCGATCTCCATCCCGAGAAAATATCTTAGTTGTCCAAGATCCTTCATCTCAAACTCAGTTGCCAAGGATTTCTTCAATCTTCTTATGGCATCCTCGTCATTTCCTGTAATTACAATATCATCCACATATACTATAAGGACAGTTATTCGGTTGCCTGCATGCCTTATGAACAGGGTATGATCTGATTGGCCTTGTGAGTATCCCATGTTTTTCATGGTACGAGAAAATCTCCCAAACCAAGCTCGAGGGGATTGTTTCAGCCCATACAACGACTTCTGCAGTTTACAAACCTTCGGATAATTATTACTGGAATTCTGTAATCCAGCTGGCATCTCCATATATACTTCCTCTTCGAGATCCCCATTTAGAAAAGCGTTTTTTACATCTAGCTGGTAGAGAGGCCACTCTAGATTTGCTGCTACTGATAAGAGAACCTTAATGGTGTTAAGTTTTGCTACTGGGGCAAAGGTTTCCTGATAGTCAATTCCGTAGGACTGTGTATATCCCCGGGCTACAAGCCTGGCCTTATACTTACTTATGCTTCCATCTGGATTGTATTTTATGGTAAACACCCATCTGCAACCCACTGTCTTCTTTCCTGGGGGTAGATCAGTGATTTCCCATGTTCTGTTTTTCTTTAACGCTTCCAATTCTTCTTTAACAGCCTGCTTCCAATCTGGGTTCTCAATTGCCTCATGGAATGTCCTTGGTATCCTCTCATTTGAGAGATTTGTAGTAAATGCCTGCATTCTCGGTGATAATTTATCATATGAAACAAATTTACTAATTGGATGCTGAGTACAAGATCTCACACCTTTTCTGAGAGCAATAGGCCAACCGAGATCATCAGGATTTAACATTGAGTCAGAGTCCTGGTCATGCCTTGGAATGGGAGGGACTCCAGTTTCTTGTTGCTCGTCTACATCATCTGACTCGGCGTTTTGCTGCTGGTCCACCCCTATGTCATTTTCCGCACTAGTTCCCAAGTTGGTGTGGTTAGGTTGAGAGTTTTGGTGTTGTGGGGCTGTTGGTTCGAGGTTGTCTATTAGCTCAGGTTCAGGGACAATAGGTGAATTAGTAGGGATGTCGATGTTTAGGTGTGTTGAATCTGGAGTTAGCCATTCGTTAATGTCATAATTCTCCCCCTGAATGGGTATTTTGGGATAATAAGCATCGGCTTCAGAAAAAACAGCATCTTTAGTGACATAGACCCTTTTTGTTGTCGGGTGGTAACATCGATACCCTTTTTGAGATGGGGAATAACCAAGGAAGATACATTTTAATGCTCGGGGCTCAAGCTTGTTACCATCATTATGGTGTATGTATACTACACAGCCAAATACTCTCAGGGGAATGTCTGAGACTAAGGGTGAATTGGGGTAGGTTGCAAGCAATTTTTGTATAGGGGTTTTGTAGTTTAGGACTCTTGAGGGCATTCTATTGATCAGGTAGGTTGCAGTGAGAATAGCTTCTCCCCAGAATGAGTTTGGAACATTTCGGGCAATCATAATGGCTCGAGTTATTTCTAGGAGGTGTCGGTTTTTTCTCTCAGCAATCCCATTTTGTTGGGGTGTGTAAGTACATGAGGTTTGATGGTGGATTCCCTGTTGATCAAGAAATTCCTTGAAGGCTGTACTAAGGTATTCTCGTCCATTGTCACTTCGTAGTATTCTAATTACCCCTTGAAACTGAGTTTTTATAAATGCGTGGAAGCTTTTGAAAACTCTAAGAATTTAAGATTTTTCTTTCATCAAGTATACCCAAGTCACTCGAGTGTGGTCATCAATAAAAGTCACAAACCACCTAGCATTAGAAGTTGATTTAATTCTTGTGGGTCCCCAAATGTCACTATGTATTAGGGTGAATGGTGATGTTGGTTTATAAGGTTGTTTAGGATAGGAAGTTCTTGTTTGTTTGGCAAGTTGACAGGTTTCACACAAAAGGGGGGCTGAATTCTTATTAAATAAGTCTGGAAACAAGTGCTTCATATAATCAAAATTGGGGTGGCCTAGCCTAGAGTGCCACAATAATACATCTTTATTCAAGGAATCTGAACTAAATAATGCCTTGCTCACATATTTATCTGTGCCTTCAAGATAATAGAGTCCATCCCATTCCTTAGCAACGCCAATCCTCCTCTTCGCTGTCAAATCCTGAAAAATACAACCAACATCGTCAAAGATCACTCTACATTGATGACTCTTAGTTACTTTGCTTATTGAAAGCAAATTACATGCCAGTTCTGGAACAAATAAAACATTCTGCAGTTCTAGTTTCTCAAGAATTTTGACAGTTCCAACACCACAGACTTTGGAAAATATTCCATTTGCAACTTTCACTTTAGGTTCTCATGGTGGCAGTACTTTAAGGATTGGAATAAAGATTTGTTACCGGTCATATGATCTGTAGCTCCTGAGTCCACGATCCAAGTATTATCATTGGTCATTATGGCGTTTAGAGCTATGATAGAATTACCTGACTTTACCAGATTCGCCTTTGGAGTCACGGATGAGTTATTGTGTCTCTCAAGGATCCGTTTGAGTACTTGTAATTCTTCCCGGCTTAAGGTTTCTCCATTCTTCTCCTCATCAACTACTGCAGAATAGCTCTTGCTTTCAGGTCTTCTTCTTTGTTTCAGATTAGCCGGTTTGCCATGCAGCTTCCAGCAAATGTCCCTAGTATGACCATTTTTGTTGCAATGATCACACCAGCCTTTTGAATTTTTCTTTCCTCTTGGTTCAGGTACATTACTGCCTTGTACTGTCAAGGCAGAGTTTTCTGATGGTGTAAATATATTCTGAGTGAGTTGCTTTCTGCTCTCTTCACATTTTACCATGTTGAATGCTTCAAATAATGATGGCAGCGGCTTTAATCCCATGATTCTTCCTCTCACGTCTTCAAATGCATCTATAAGGCCGAGCAAAAATTCATAGGTCCTTTCTTTCTCAACTATTTTTCTGTATAATTGAGCATCACCACTGCAACTCCATTCATGGATATCAAACATATCCAGCTGCTGCCACAGGCGCGTAAGGGCAGTATAATACTGAGTTACAGTCATAGAACCCTGTTTTAGCTCTCTTTGTAGTCTCTTGATATGAAATAGTGCTGCAGTGTTGTCTATGGCAGAATAGGTTCTTCTTGCTGCGTCCCATATCTCCTTTGCTGTCTTAGCAAGTAGGTAACCTTCACTAATCTCTACGGTCATTGAGTTACACAGCCAAGTCATTACAAGGTTGTTCTCAGCAAACCATGTATTATAATTACTGTCACCAGGTTTTGGCTGTGGGGCTTCTCCCGTGATGTATTCTTCCTTCCTTCTTCCTCTCAAATACATGAGAACACTTTGAGACCACTGTAAGTAATTGCTTCCATTCAGTTTATGGGCAATTATCATTTGTTGTGTCTCAGCAGAAGATACTGGCTCTGTTCCCATCGGTGATGATGTAGAAGAAGAGGAAGTAGATTGTTGTGATATTACACCTGCTGTAAGAGCCGAGGGTGGCGCGTTTGGGTTTCCTCCGGATCGTCTCATTGACCCGAACAAGGGTGGAAGTTCCTCAAGTGTCATCGTTGTCTGTGTCCGATTCGTGTAACTGGTTCTTCAAGTCGCGACTCGTGTAACCGGTTCCTGGGTGCGTCGAGAGGCAGTAATTAGTGTACGTTGCCGAGTACCTCTAGTCACGAGGAGGTTTCAGGTCGCTGGCACACGTCTCCAAATCGCCGAGTACTTCTGGTCGCAAGGAGTCTCCTGGTCGCAGGTTCACGTCTCCGAGTCGCCGAATGTCTCTGGTCGCGAGGAGTCTTCTGTTCTGGTCGCAAGTTCCCGTCTCCAAGTCGCCGAATATCTCTGGTCGCGAGGGGACTTCGGGTCACGTTGCAAGTTCTCGTCTCCAAGTCGCCGAATGTCTCTGGTTGCAAGGAGGCTTTACGTGACTTTAACAGATCGTGAAGAACAGGGCCGAATTCGCACCCGCTCTGATACCATGAAGTTAATGGAACAATTCTGTATGTCTCTTATTATTCAATGAGAAGGAATACATCATATGTATATATAACCGAACAAGGAAGACTAAAGATAAGATACTGTTATCTATCTCTATCTAATCTAAGACGGAAAGATAAATGAGTAACTGAAAAAAAAACTACTTAATAAATAAAACTAAGTTTATTTGGCTTGGGCCTTGGGCTTTGTCTTTCAACATTATATGCTGGATCGGATATTGCATCTGTTCTTCTATACCTCTTATTATAATCAAATAGTGAACTCTTATGTGGAAACTTTGACCTTTTCTTATGATGTCTGAGATAATGTGCAGATTTTACGTAGAAGGTCACAGATATTTTGTTGAGGATTGTGATATTTAATTTGTTAGAAATATAAGGCTAAAGGTTAAGAAGTTAGTTACCTTTTTTAGCTATCTTTCTTACGCAATAATTTATTTATATTTGTTATAAATATAGCCCACTTTGGGAAGTTCTTTAGTTATTCTGCTGCTCTTTCTCTGTTTCTTAATTGCATTTGTATTCAGCATAATGAAGCGATGTTTTTCAACTACAGAATCAAAACTAGAAGCTTTAAATATGATGATAAGGAAAGTTATGAGGCTTCAAGGTCTAAAGATATGCTAGAAAGTGAAGGTAGCATCAAGAATGAGGTGCATTTAGACGGAAAAGAGGGTCATAATTTTGGAATCCCATTCCTTGCTTTGATAGCAGTTGCAATGGGCATAGCTGTAACGGCAACGCTAATATCCATTTACCAGCAGCCTATCCTTGGATCATCTTTCGTTGTGCAGTCTCTTTCTGAAAGCTCATCCTCTTCAACGGTTGCTCCAGCCACTGCTGGTTTCAGTTTCCAAGCTTTTGGATACAAAATTATACTTCCAGAATATGCACCAGGGTATGCCTTGTGATGATAGATTTGCTATGAATTAGTTTTATTCAACATCTTAGACTTGGAATCAAGCAATATTTTCTAGTTAAAAGTACATGTAAGAGCTGGCTAGTTTATAGTCCTTTTCCTCCATTGCATGGGTACTATTTTTAATTCTCCTAATTAAGGAGCAGAGCATTGTAAAGAAGATTGGCCACTCTTCTGAATTGAAATAGCATCGTTCCATTGCTATCTAATCGATGCTACCCTTCATCTGAACTTCCTGTAGATGGATCTACTTCTGGTTGCTTATGGCTGCAGGATGTGGACTTTTCATTAGTGAAGAGGCTCTAAATGTTTGGGTCTGTCTTTTTCACTGGTATTTCTGTTTTACTGGTACTTTTCATTGTTAATTTTTCTGTAATGATATACTGCTTAGTTTCTCGATTTGTTTGAATCCTTTAATTATCTTTAAGCAATTAATTTAGGTTGGCATATCACTATCTCGGTTTCTGTCTCTGGATGGAACATGGAGGTCTTTTGCAGAATCTTTCTCAAGGAATAGTTCATATGTGATATCAACGGTTTTCTGGGTTTACTGGTAGTTAGCTACTCCATCTTAATCTGCATTTCTTTCCTTCGATTATGTTATTTTTGTCAAAGAGCTGGTACTTCTGAAAATTCCAGTCAAACCATGGCATCACATCTAGTTACTGTTCTCTTGTTTCCAAAACTTGTTGATCATGGAACTTGAATTTTACTTGGCAACTCTGGATTTCAGGGGTGTTTGCATTAGCGATATGGTGCCCTTTTACTTGGGGAAGCTTTTCAGACGGTCTGGGGTATCTGATGATGTTTCTACAAGGGTTAGTTCTGCCTACTTTATTCTGTGCTCCAATGGGCTAGATTGAGATCATACATTTGGCCAAAAAAAAAAGTTCATGTTACTGTGTTAGTCCAGGCCTAGGTCCTTCTAACCCACCTTTTTTTTTTTTGGGGGGGGGGGGGGATGCATTTTCATGGTAATTTTCAATCTTATCTGATGATTTTGTTACTTTTGTAAATTTTTAATTTCTGGTGATATTTGTAGTTAGGAATTGGCAAGGAGAAGGCCCTGGAGATCACAAAGGCAGTGCAGAAGTATGGCAATCTAATAGGTTTTGGTAAGCTGAAGACCTTTGCTATCTCCAATGAGTGTATTTTGGTTTAAAACCTTTATGTGCATATAGTTATTAAATATTTGTTGACGCCAAAATATTCCCAAATTAATGACGTAACAAATATTACTTATTTGATAAAAATCAAATAGTTAATTATTATAGTAATACACAAAATTATGATGCAAGATACTCTTCTAATCCTTAATATAGGACCTAATTGTTGAGTTGATTTTGGTCCTAAATATAAAACCTATTTTTCTCATATTTATCAATTTTTCCTAAGTTACCCCTATAGATACTCCCTCAACCATAATCAAGTAAAAGAGGGAGAAAGGATATTAAAGAAGATGATTATGGTGTTTTAGGAAAAACATATCATATTTCTCATAATTAACTAACTTCCTTAATCTAATCAAATTAGTTAAATAGGTCTTATATTAAGGACCGGAGGAGTATTACAAATCTCATGTTTGTAACCGTATAAGAACCCTCTTTAGTTTCTAGGAATCATCTGTGGCTTCAATTGCATCATCATCAACACCCCCCCCCGGGGCTTCGTCCCTTCTCATCCATTCTCTCTGTGACTAGATCCCTAGTATAGTGTTGGACCCTGAAGTACTTGTTATATTATTGCATAGTTCACACTTTATATAGGCAGTTGCAGATTCTCGTATCATCTGCTCATCCTAATTATTGACTATGTCAATGTCATTCCTTTAAGGTTCTCACCAATATTTTTAGTTCTTTATTACCATATCCTCACAAACGTAATCATTGCATTGCAGACAAATATATGATGATTGGCCATGTATTGAAAGATTATGCTTTTATGAATTACTAAACCAAGGAGCATTTTTCCTAAAAGAATATCTAAAGGGCGAAGTAAACTCATCCTTTGTGTGGTTTGAGTTGAGTCCCTGTTTTCACTTATTACTCACCTGATCTTCACTTAGTTATTTATTCTGCTTGATCTCTCCGGAAGGCTACATGTGATTGTTAGGTGTCCTGAGAAACCCGTAGAGAAGATGCCAAATGGTTGTTTGCATCCACAAAAACCACAGTTGGGCAAAGTGGAATCCTTTTCTTTTATGTCTATACTATTTTCTATTTTACAGTTGATTTAGTTCTTTGATTGATTTATGGTGTTCATGTGACTTGTATTTTTGCAGTTGAACGATTTTCCCTTGGGGTAAGGAACCCCACGGCTTTCCTAGCAGGTGCCATGGTTAGTAACTTTGTTTAATGTACTTGCAATCGAGTTTTACTGTGGTCAGTCTGATTTTGATGTATAAAGTGAGGACAAATGAGTGATTTTCTTCCATGGTAAGGTAGGGTTTTGATCTATAGCCCTCCAAATTATGGATAATTGAGAACATCTTCATAATTATGCCCTCCTTTTCCCCTTTACCATTAGGATCAATCGCCTAGAAATTCTCCTTGAGTGAAGGCCCGCATCAGACCCTGATATTCCCACAAATAAATTCTTTTAAAAAAGGGATCTATATTAAATACTTGCAGCAAATTTTCCTTCAGTCCTGATGATAATTAGACTCATTTATTTTGGTTATAGGTTTTGAAAGTTGAGGTCATTGTCTTATCATTACCATGTGGAAACATAATGTTCAGATCTATGCATTGGGATAGCTAGCCTCTGTCCTCTTGTAGAGATGATAGGGATATTCATTCTCTACATAACTTCTTAAACTGAGAAACTCAGTGGCATGTGGCCACAGTGGCGTTTTAATCTTGTCTCCTTGAGGGAGGGTGCGGGCTCTAGTCTGCATAGGTGTGTGTAATGTGTTTACAATTTAATTGTTCATAGCTTTTTTTTTTAAAAAAAAAAAAACTACTAAGAAACTCACGAGCTATGATGATAAAATTTCATCTCTTTCCAGTATTTGTTGAATTATGCCTTGAAGAATGCTATTTTATCCAATTTGGCAGAAGTCAAGTAATGATGATAAGAGTCCAATGTTAGGGATAGTTTACAAATTAGCTATTTGCAGTTATTTTTAATCTTCAGTTTTAGGTGGTTATATTCAGTTATCCTTTGAGACTGTTACAGTGGGGTTATTTAAATATTACTTATTGTCAGTTATTGATAATCCTTATCCTAGAATGTAAGAGGTTATTGGGAAGTTATTAGTTGGTTATTCACAGTTATGTTTTCAGCCTATTTAAATCTATTGTATGATGACATTAGTTGTGTGAATGAAGTATGTTATTCAGGAATTTCCCTCTTCTCTCCTAGGATTTCAGATACTGATTCTAGGCTCGCTCTCTCTCTCTCTCACTCACTCACTCACTCAAACACACATCTCTCTTCTACCTTCTCATCTGTTCTTTCCCCTCTCTTCAGTCTCCCAATTCTTATTCTCTCTTCTTCGAAATCTAACAAGTGAACATAACTGTTGTTACTTACGTATTGCGTGGGTTAGAAAATAAATGACTAAAAGGGAGTGGAAGATTTTCGTGGTTGGATGTGCAGTGTTTAACTGTTCATGAGAGGGAAGAAAAGGTTTGGTGGATGATGGATATATTTTATATTTTATATTCATCTTTTGTCTGGACCACAGACACACACACACACACACACACAGAGGCTTCTTTTCACGACTGAGCTCCTTGATAGTTTTCTTGTTCTTGTTGAGGAGTTAGTTCTTCTAATTTCTTAAGCTTCAGTCAATTTCACATGTTAATCTATGCTTTATTGAGGAGTTAGTTCTTCTAATTTCTTAAGCTTCAGTCAATTTCACATCTTAATCTATGCTTTTTGGTAATTATGCTTGCCCTGGTTAGAGCTTTTCTGTACTCTGTAAATGTTGTTTCTGCCTGTGTCTGTATCTGTCTTGATTGGTAGGTGATACAGATTAATTCTGGGGAATAACCACTGGTCCTTTTCCTTGTTTTGGTTTTTGTTCATCTTTTTATTTTGAAAAAAAAATCCATTTCCGTTTAGAATTATTAATCCTTTAAAGGATTAGGAAAAATTAATCTCCCAGTCCATAATAAAAGGCTTTTGGTTAAATGCAGGGCATATCTCCTGAGTTATTTTTTGCAGGAGTCTGTTGTGGTGGTCTATTCACACTTCCCCTTCAGGTGAATATATTTTCACTGGGAAACATGCAGGATTAATCACAGCGGTTATTATTTTTCGCTGAATAATTTGTTGATAGACTTAGATCTGTTACAATACCTATTAACAATCTAATTCTTGGGACTTGGATGTTATTGCTCAGTCAAATCTCTCGTTTTTTTTTTTGGCTTCTTCTTCCTCTTCTTCTTTCTTCTGATTAAATGTTATTCGTACCTTTTTTAAGGCTCTGACTTGTTGCTTGCATCAATGAGGGTCTTCTCAATGAAAATTCTAGGGCCTGGAAACAAAATCCTGGGAGTTTCTCCCAATCTAGATGCTCAATTTAAATAAGCAAACTAAGATATTTTTTCTTATCATATAGCTTATCCTTATTTACGGCTTTGCACAGGTTTTAGACAAAGCAATAACTAGAGAGTAGCAAAACAGATAATCTACTTCAATTTTTATTCCTTGGGTTTGTCCGAGATGATTCATGATGGCTTTAATTATTTCACTTTAATAGATCCCTTGCAATGTCATAACTAACATGAGTTTTCCCTTTTCTTGTATGGTCAGCTCGGAGTAGGTTTTCTTTTGAGAGAACGCCCTATGTTTGCTCTTGCAACTGTTGCAACTGTGATGGTATGGTATAATTGACTTGTGAGAAATAAAATCCATATCCATATACTTCTTAGAATGTGCATACTTAACATGTACTTTTATACAGGGAATTTGGACCATTTTTCCATATGCTTTGGCTGGATTAACTGCATTATTCTTCTATCTTCGAAGGCGTTCCTCTGCTTAGTCATTGAATTACTTTGTAGGTCAGCTTAAATATTATCATGTATATGCGATCAATTGACATGTAAATTTTAATTGTAATCATTCTTGAACATATTCCTGCTTTAGGAGGGTCATTACCTTGGGCAAATCACGACGATATTATGGAACTTGGGTGTTGTACCATTTTTCCGGAGATAATCAAGTGGAAAATGGCAAAATATTTCATCATAACTTAATATATTTATATTACATTGATATTTCTCATGTTTTCTTTGCTTTGAGAATCCAACTTTTCCTTGCACTCAACCGTGAGTGTTAATATAACAACATAATTTAGTTTGATCTGGACTATTTTTAACTTCACTATCGTTTAGAGAGACTCAAGGTATCTGAGCTGAATATCGTAGGCTTCCTTCAGTTCTGCTAATACTTCTGCAATAGTTGGTCTGAGTGATGCATCCCTTTCCACTGACTTCACAGCAATGTAGGCGGTCTTCCTCATGCTCTCGAGATCAAAATTTCCTTTTATGCTGTCATCCACAATTTCATATGCTTCTGCCTGCAAGTAAGGTTTTGCCTGCAGTTGGTTGTTAGGAAAAGGAAGATGTAAACTCCTCAAAGTATACACTAATAGAAACAAGGAAGAATTATAAATAGGAGCAATATAGTAACTATTTGTACACTCAAGAACAAATGCTCAAAGAGTGCTTATTCATGTGAATTTTGAACTAAATAGTCACATTTTCACTTTACTGGGTGATAAACAGTAAAAAAAAAATGATGCTTATTCGTAATTACTCCATGAAGGATAGTTAAGAGATAAGGTTTCATATGGGCTTTCCCTTACATTTTTGTTTTTTTGTTTGTTTTTTTAAGTGAAATCAAGCTTTCTTTGATTGTTCTACCAGTCTCAATGACTGAGTGGCTAGAAGTCTGATGTTTCTTGCTTCTATTCTCTCAACTAAAATTATCCTGCATAATTAAGCCTATGTCTTTGTCCATGATTTAAGCCGGAAGGCCTTTCATGTGAAGGGGCATGCTGAAGATTATAATAAGAGTAATAATTTGTCATTACTTAACATCTTAAACTTTTGAATGGAGGTGGTCCTAGAAACCATGTCAAGCTATTGCATTGCAGAAAAGCCAAAAAGAAGATTTGAGTTACCCATAACACCAAATTGAAAGAATCAGGAGATCCAGAGTGATTCAATGGCTCTCTACCACAGATGAGTTCCAAAAGGACTACTCCAAAGCTATATACATCACTTTTCTCAGTGAGCTGTTGGGTGGAATAATACCTGTACATAGAAACAAGTTTAAAATAGCATAGATTTTTCAGGTAATCATTATTTTCTTGATGCTAGGAACATACTCAGGGTCTAGATAGCCAGCAGTGCCCTTGACAACAGTGGTGACATGAGTTGCATCTGCCTTGGTCACTTGCTTAGAGAGGCCAAAGTCACAGACTTTTCCATTCATCTCCACATCCAAGAGGATATTACTGCACTTGACATCACGGTGTATGATTCGTGGTTCACTTCCATTATGTAAATAATCCAATCCTTCAGGAATGGAAAAAGGAGAGAAAGAAAGAGCCTTAGGCATATAAGTATAAACATGACTTTCCTCAATCAATGAAGATACAAACACACCCATTGGAGCGACAGAATCTAACGTTGTAACAACATATTAACTTGTCCGTAGTTGTTGGAACAACAGCAATGTTTCCTTTTGCTTTATTGGCTCATGCTCGCCAGACATGACTTCGCTGGCTTAAAGATGGATCATTGAGGTAGCTTTTGAGATTACAAATATGTAATTTGTAGTCGTCGTGTTTTTCAAAATTTATGTCACAGTTTATTGAGGTACCAGTCATGTCCGTCTGATTTTTGTGTCACTTTCATATTACAAGTTTCTTTTAGAGATGTCGGATGCTTGCAAAGACATTGGATGGGAGAATTTGAGAAGGGTTACCTGTGGTACTAACAAACATTCATCTCTTGACCTAGACCAGTTCTTATTTAAGAATCTAGGTTGACAATAAAAGATAAGAATAGGGATTAGGATTGAGAAAAACCATTAAATAATGTTTAGTATGAGTAATTTCTTGTCACATGGGATTAAACAATCCAATGTAAAGGGGATTGGGGAATACCACATCCCCCCATAGTATTCTCTAATCTCACATATATAGATTTGTCTAATCCCGAGTAATAAGCAATCACTCATACTAAATATTCTTTTAACATATTTTTTCAATTCCAATCCTAGTTCTTATTCTCATTTTCAATGTTTTGTACCAAACGGGAATCTAGTTTGTACCTTTTGCTGCATCCACTGCAATTTTCAATCTTCGAACCCAGCTTAATGACCTTTTTTGGCTGTTTGTACCTGGTAGAAAAGAAAATAAGTGTTAGAACCCTTGAATCTGACAGCATATGGGAATATTTGAAGCAGAAGTAGAAAAGATAGGGCAAAATTTTTTGTTCAAGCAAGTAGAGTACCGTATAGATGATCAGCTAGTGATCCACCAGCCAAGTACTCATACACTAGTATCTGATGCCTTGATTCATGACAGAATCCTTCCAATGACACAAGATTTTGATGGCGGATTTTTGACAGAAGATGAACCTAAGCACAACAGAAGTTGAGAGAAAGAATTAACTCACCAAAAGGGAAAGAAAAATGATAGAATCAAGGTTCTCAGTAATAGATATGGCAGAGAGACAACATAAATGATTCAAGATAATGCTTAAGAGGTATTTGATTCTTCCTTTAGTAACAAAAATGAAGCCAATGCTTTTCATGTAATTCAGTGAAACCTTTATTTGATAAATTATACTCATTGAAAACTTCCTTTGAGCTCGCACCAAAGGGGAAAACAATCCAAGAATCATTATGATAGGGGCAATATGAGTTCACGTGCAAGCTCACTTAAGAACAGTTCTGCAGACCGTGTCATCGGCTAACCTAAGGGGTCCTAGAACGAGAGTCTAGTGCACTACTTCGTTAGAGATGTCCTTTTGTCTCATCTGCAAGTTAGCTCAATTATAATGCCATCGAAAAGATTGTTGTATGGAAGTCTTAATTAGTGAACCTCATTGATGAAAGAATCAGCTCCTAGTTGGGTTTTGTCCAGCCGAACTTTGACAGCGACTGATTTACCATCTGGAAGCTTTCCATAGTAAACTGATCCAAAACTGCCTCTTCCTATAACTTCTTTAAAGTTTCCAGTAGCTACTTTAATTTCTTTGTATGAAAACATTTTTGCTGCACCCCAGTTCCTCATATCAATTTCTGCTCCTGGAAGGTAGAAAGAACATCTGTATAACACAAGAAAAGCTAACGAAATACGCAGGCAGTAAAAAAAAGAAATTGCATACTTGCTGTGTGAGAAACTTCATATCTTCTTCTGGTCATGTGTAGCAGTCCTGAAAGTAAGATCAAGAAAAGCACAAGTGTGGTTCCACCAACCAAGCCTAGTATAATTGCTAGATGTTTATGTGATTTGTGCTTCCTTCTGGGAATTATTGTAACTTGTGGCGTCTCAATTGAAGGACTGAATGCTTCACCATCACATATGGCTGCAGAGAACGAAAGACACAAATTCCCAGATGTTCTGCAAAAGGAAAGAAACAAGGTATCATCGTGCAAAGTTTTAAGGAAGCAGATCTAATACTTCATCTGTTCCCGTTCCTCCATACCTGATCTCTATGGTTGGTTTGTTCAAGGACTCTGGTAGTGGACCTTGCAGCTTGTTGTTTTCTAGATTCCTGAAGAATGTAAAACAATGTATTATACAAAGCAAAGAGACAAAGTAAAACAAATGGAAAGGCAAAAATTGTCATATGATTTTATTAGATTTTTTTTTTCCCCTGATGCTAAACTTACAGAAAGTGGAGGTTTTCTAACTCTCCCAGGCTATCAGGAACCAATCCTTGGAGGCTATTGTTATGCAAGTCTCTAAAAATACAGTGAAAAAGAAAAAGAATGTAAGATTAATGTTTCACTTTGCATTTGCAATATCGTTTTTGAGATAGAATATTTTGAGAGAAGAGAAAATTATAATCAGAAGTATAGTATTCATAGAACTATTAATCGACTTTTACTTGGTTTCTTAAACTCATAAGATGAAATGGCATTTGGACATGGCATTGGAACCTTCGTAACCAAGAAGTTCACTTGGCAATTTAAGCTTATAATCATATCAGTATGATTAGTGAAGGGTTCAAACTTCTTAGGTCTGAAGTCTTGTAAACATTAAGAAGTTTTGAACTTACAATATTTGAAGGCTAATCAAGTTATCCAGCTCCACTCCAAAGGATTTTAGCTTGTTGAAACTCAGGTTCCTGAAATTTTTGAGCAGTTGTTAAATATCTTCTGCATAAAACCAAAGGTCAAGTTCTTACTCTCGGGAGGTATTACAGTTTCTCAAGTTGTTGCAGGCTACCCAAGTTCTGTATTTCACCAGCAAGCGATGTGTTGTGCAAATCTCTGATAAATAATTAACGCCAAAACAGATTAAAATAAGAAGGGAAAGAAAAAAAGAATATGAGCACACGTATAAACGATATAAATGAAGTTTTTCTAGCTGAGGAAATTTACAATTTTTTGAGGTCCAACAAGTCACCAAATGTAGGAGTAATTGATCTGAAATTTACACCAGAGAGATCCCTGAAAAAAAAAAATAATTACTACTATTAGATCATTTATTAAATACCTGGAAGAACCATTGGTTTGGAGAGGAAATAAAATGAGACACACACAGTGATGTGACAAGGCTTCCTTCACACCCAATATGATCCCATGGTGAAGGAGAGCATGGATCATCTTGCCATCCTAGATCCAACCCAGCTGACTGCTGAATAACTTGTAGTGCTGAGACTGGAAAAAGAACAGCTCATCAGTGTATTAAATCAACTGTAGCGAATTTGTAATAATGTGTATTCTCAGAAAATACGGTAAGGCACCTGTGGTTGAAGAAACTTCAGGTGGAATATCAACCATCTGATATACCTCAAATGCATTGATTTGAGGGTAAAAGCTGATGCTCTTTAATGTTATATTCAAACTGCTGATTCCCTTTCGAGTCACATATAGAGCACTGATTTCTGTACTATTTATTGTGTAGTTTGATTTTATGATATCTCCATTTATGAACACATCAAAGGTGGGAAAAACAGGAAGTATGCCGGCAAAATAAAGAATGATATAATAGTCCCCTACTGCTTCAAGAGGGAGGTTATATG